CATAGCTGGCCTGGAAATCGCTATTTTCGCACAGGTGTCTGAAAAAAAAAAACAGTGTGCCAGAAATGACCACTTCCACTTAATCCTGGCCACTGTCGCCATTGTGCTACAAAAGTTCTTGCCACACACTGTAAAAGGCACTCACCTACACACACTCTTAAGTATCTAATAACATGTCACCATCAACATAGCCACTCACATACAGGTTGTTCTACCTTCTGATAATGAAAAAAAATTGTGTTTCCTAGTAAAGTTTTGACCGCCCAGCTCACTAAAACCACTTTCCAAAGTAAACACAAGTATACATCTCATAGAAAGGCATGACAGTCCACTCAGGAGATGTATTCTGAGTCAAGAACTGAAAAGCTTGGTCTACCAATGCATCACCACCATCTGTTCCACCTCGTGAGAAGTAGAAATCATGCCCTCAGAAACTAGAGTCAAATCTTTGTAGAGAAAGTAAGACAAATTAGGTCCTCCAAGCAGTCAGTACAAGAGACCATTTGTCTTGCCTTTCTCTGACTTGTGCTTATTATAAAACTACGGGGAGCCAACATTAGCATCTGTAAAACACAACTACACACTCGCTCATCTGTTCAGTATGGAGAAGACAGAGAACATCATACTAGTGAGGGATGTACTCTTAACCCATCTGGAGTCTATGTCCACGTAATCCTCAAAAGGCTGAGAGGTACCACCGGATGCAAACCCATCTATAGAGAGATACTTGGGGCCGATGACTATTTCAAATAAATAACCTGGTCATTTGTGCCTGGTTGTTTTCAATGCTAGCATCTCCTTTCTTCCCCTTTCTCCCTCCCCCGCCACCAAGGTGATATACACTTTTTGGGCAGATACTCCTGTTCACAAAATCTAAGTATCAACATTTAACAGATGTTCAGCAGTAGTTAAAATATTCACAAGGAAAAACTATTAGGTAACTCATTTCTCCAAGGAGAGGATAAAAATAATCTGACACTAAACATTTTGGGATGATTCTTGTAGTTTCTGTGTATAACACACAAAAGTACAATAAAAAGTGCTACATGGTAGTGTTTGAAATTACTAATGTACACAGTAGTTTCTGCTACTGCCGTAGCATGCATTCATTTGAAACAAGTCTAAAGGCTCAGAGTAGTATTACTCAACACAACATACTTTATATTATTATAGTCAGTAAATACAAGATTGGAATGAAGGGGAAATTCCAGGACAAAAAAAAATAATAATAATCCAGAAACCCTGAGCCTAAGACAGTCCAACCCAAACCCAGGGAAGCGCACTGTATTGCTTCCTGGTTGATAGGAATGTGCTTCCAGGCTACGCACTGGTGACACAGCTGTGACACCCTAAAGCTCAGTATTCCTCTAAGAGACTGCATCCCGACAATGTTACAGCTGCCAGAAGAGCAAAGAGCCTCTCAGTCTACACTCCCTCTCCAGCTCTCTGTGCCACCTTCACGGTGTCCACAGCGCTCATGAGGACTTGGCAAGCAAGTCTTCAAACAAATAAGGAAATCCAGTCGAAAGTTATTCTGAGAAACAGAAAAGCAGGAGTGCCCAGGCAGAGAGGAAAGATGTCTGCTTTCAAGCCCGAAGGTCCCTGGGGGGTGGGGGGGGCGGTATATGGCAGAGCTCCAATGCCATGAGAATTCCTTGAGAGAACTGTTACTCATAAGAGCACTTTGATCTATGCAACTGTTGGGAGACTGTGGCACTGTGAACGTACCCTTGATCCAAGCATCTGTGACGTGCACATCTAACCGTTAACTATTCGGAAACACTCATCATTATCATCATTATCAGAAATCCAATAGTAAGCGAGTGAAGGGGGCCTCCCTAGGAAGTAACCCTAACTGGCAGCTTCTTCATATAAAGAACCAAGTTAATCGCATCAAATTGCAGTCTCCCGCCTCTATTGAGGCTATGTCAAAATGTTAAAAATAAAACAAAAAGAATTGTTGATTCCCTCTAAAGAAAAAATTGAGTCAATAGCCCTATGAGGTTGTAAGGAAGTATTTCACCGCAGATGGAAAATTGGTTAATTCTCCATGAGAACATGATTTACGCCTTTGTGATTTTTCTATAAGCTCTAAAAATAGACCAAGCATTTATTTTTAGATGCCAAGTAATTTGAAAATGCAAAAAGGGATAAAAGGAGGATCTTCCAATTGGCCATCGAGAAGATCTTTAGTATGAATACCACCTAGAGATAACACCATTACGTGTTATATATACTGAGAAAAATTAAAAACACTATTTAGGGGGAAATTAACCTAAAATAATTGTAGTTATTTTTCCTATATGTTAAATGTAATCACTTACATTTAACTTACATTTAAGTGATTAAGTGATTAAGTTAAACGTAAATGGAAGCTGTCAAGATGATTCATTAGCGTCTCTAATTTGTAGCCTCCACCTACTTCTTACCAGTTCTACAATGCCATTTGTAGAACTTTATCTTTCCTATTATCAAATCCCTGCCTTTGATAGTTAGGAAAGATATAACTCTGTAAACATTACCATCACTTACACATTCCGCATTATGTACAGTAGGAGGAAGCAAGATTATACTCAGGTAAAATAGAAATCTCTTGAGTCATCTGCGTTCAAGTTCCAAATCACTTTCTTTTACAAACTAATAAAAATAACTATGGTCAAAAGCCCATTGTGTTAGTATAACTCAAAACTCACTCATAGAAGATGTCAAAGACAAAACCCTGTCCTTGTATATTTCATAATGCACATTATGAAGAAAACCACTTATACTTACATATAGATACCTCAGCTCACTACATTATTTTTTAATATTCCCAAAATTTTCCACTTATTTCTTATCTATTCATATGAGAAATGAAGCTCATAACTGGAGTCATTTCCCATGTCTGATGGGTCAGTTAGGGACTTAGTGGGATCAAGAGTGTAATATAATTTCGCTGGTCTACATGAAAGTTAGTGCAAACTTCCTAATGCAAATCGAGGGAGAGGACTTGAAAGGGACAGGTCTAAGTTAAGAAGCCTGAAGCTTCTGTCCCACCTGCTTCCTGGGAAAGTTATCTGTGCCCAGCAATTATAGTATCTGATTACAGCACACAGTAAATTATAGCAAAATACTGTCACCTCCAATCACACAATGCCTTTTATTTCAGCTACTCTTATCTCCAGTGTTCTTGCTTTTCATAACCCATCCTTCAATTATGAGAGAGCAACTCCAGGTCAAAGGATGCCCCCTTTCTGAGCAATACATTCATCTGCAAACAGGGATAAAGTAAGGACTATCTGAAGACCGATGACAGCTCACGAAGGATTATGGTGAGTGAGATGACCAGACTCAGGCTATTTATCTGGCGACAGCAGCAGTGGGCTGACAACTTTGCCAGGCACATGAGACAATATGCACATTTGGCACTGACACGTTTTAGTGTTAAATTACCAATAACTGCTATGTAACCAAATCACCTGTCCTCATGTTTTTTCATCATGAAGTGAAAGAGGAACAGCACACGGGCATGTGTGTACACGGTGCATGCACACACCTGTTAGTTACTTTGCCATCATTCTTCCCAGGACAACTCTCTAGTCTCAAGAAAGACAAGGAGATCAAATCACAATTTTAAAAAGTCTGATTTTGTTCATTTAATCCAACAAATGTCTCAGCAATATAACCTCATCTTTTAAATAATTAAAAGGTTTATTTAAATGTTTGGAAGACTTTTTAAATGGCAATTTGATCTCCTATAAATATATAAAATGAGGTCCAAAACATTCAATAAAATACTTTATAATACTATGTGGAGTATCAGTCTATATTTCTACCATTTATTTTGACTTTGGAAGTCTTACCTCGATCTAACTAAATACTAGGAATTCTGTATGCCACCAAATCCAGGATGCTTAGAAATAGGATATTAATTTTCTTATGCTATAACGACCACTTTTACATTTGTGCTACAATAAATCTGTATTCCAAATACATGAATGAGTAGGTTTGTTCGTTTTCAGTCACCTGTGGCAATGCTAAGAGCTTCGTGCTTGCTTTGTGCTTAGGGATCACTCGTAGTGGTACTCGGGGTACCACGGACAGTGCCAAGGACTGGACCAAGGTCAGCTGCATGCCAGACAAGTTCCCAAATTCCCTGGATGATCTCTCTGATCTTGAACAAATATTTTACAGAATATAAAAGTATACATGTGTGTGTGCATAGGAGAGTTCTATCCTGCCCAATTCAAATGATTGAGCAGGATAGCATTCTACCAAAAAAAATTATGAATTTTGATTCCTCAATTTCATGAAGCCTTTATCTTTCCATGACTCAATCTTTAAAAAAAATAGACTGACAAAAAAATAAACAAAAGACTGACATATACCTCAAATCTGTATCACTTTTTCTTAAATGACTGATTTAGAAAAAAATATAGTACAATGATAGCATGAATTAACAATGCGAAACTGATTTTTGAAACTGGTGGAAAGAACAACAAATAGTCTAGTTAGGTCATAAAATATAAATATAAATTATGACCAAAATAACCAAAAAATACAACTAGGAGCCCAAACTGCCACCACTGCTGTTAGAAACACATCAACCTCTGGAATCATCAGGAACCACACAGACTTCTCCAGGAGACTTCATAAGCTTTCACTGGGCAGGCACAAGCACATTCAGTTCGTTGATTTAAATCATATGGACATAGACCATTATAAATGGGAATTTTAACAAAATCTATTTTTATCTCTAGCAACAACATAGAGAAATGCAGACAAATGAATATAGGTTGTAGAGAATACAGGTCAAATTTTTAGACCCCTACAATAAGGGAACAGGAATGTAATCTTTATGAATTTATTGATAGACCCCAAAAGAATCTTCTGTCAAAAAGTCTATAGTGTGTGTATATATATATATCCACATATATATGTACACACACATATATCAAGTGCAAATTTTGAAATTAGTCAATTGGATATTCTTCAAATTACATATAACTTTCACCCTGATCAATTGTTTATGAACTCTAGCATCTGTTCTTAATAATTTTATTCGGGATAATTCTTCTAAAACATTATTTCAAATGGGCAAAAATTAAAGAATGACATAAACTCTGGCTATAACAAACCTTTAACCTTAGATATATGTTACTCTCTTTTGAAAAGTTCACACTATTTTCTAAACCTAGCAAAATGCCACCTGTCTGATAATAAAAAAAGAGAGAAAATGCATGAATGTGTGCATTAGATATCTCTTTGGCAAGTTGAATGATAATTAAAGTGAAGAAGTTACTGACAAAGCCTAGACAAATGGAAAACTTTTAGAAATATCAGTAGTAAATCTTACTTAGCAGTGACATTTCTGCCTCAATATTTATGTAAATATATTCCTTTTCCTAATTGATCTGGACAGTTTCAGCCATAGAGATATTTTAACAGAATATAAAATGTATAAAGGAAATATACAAACTGTCAAAATTTATCAGCATGTAAAAATAGCTACATTTTTTTTAAGTTCAGAATTACAACATAGCCTATGGATAGATTACAGAAATCCACATAATAGTGAGGCTCCTAGCGTGGTGATTTCTGTCTTCTATTTTGTTGTACTCTGACCATTTTTAATTGCACGATTCAGGTTTATGTAGTGAAACAGTTGATGGTGTTTAAGGAGATTAACTACCTGACTATTGCTTCACTCCAAGAAGGTTGGTTACTAACTTTCCTGATCAAATGGTCCAAAATGAAAACAAAATGGCATAAAACCATAGACTTGGTAATAATGAGTGGAAATACTTCTAGCATCACTAATTCTCCAAGGTATCTGCAACTATCTCCTAGTTTTGTCTCCTAAAGAATAGCTCCTACAAGCTCTTGTTTCATGTTCTCAAGAAAATCAGGCATAGTTTCCTCTGTCTTTTGTTCAAAAAATATTCTGGGCATCACCCATTAAAAGGTAGGTGTGCTCCAAATTACTAAAGCAAAGCAAAGCAATGTCAATGTTAAATAAATGCCCTACCTTGGGGTTATCATGAGGATAAACTTGGTTTTTTTTTTTTCAATACAAGTAGGAAACACTTTTCACAGTAGCGTCATCCACGCTATACAAATGTTCATTTTTATAAAAACTATCACATATAGAAAAGACCTCATCTTCAATCTAAAGGCTTTTCGTCATGGGAAAACGTGATGCAGAGAACCACCACTCAAGTACTTGTGCATTCTCTCCTTGGCAGGAGGTGACAAGGACTTCAGAACCTTGTGAACTCATGGTTCATTTGCACAGGAACGCGACAGATAACGGAGTCACAACTAAGTCTCTGGGAAACCAGTTTGAACAGAAATAGAAACTGATTCCTTTTGTCCATCGCCAAAGTTGCAATCCTGAATTTTCAGAAAATGAAGTGAAGCTCCAAAGTGCATTTTTGCCCATTGGAATCTGGAAATAGACTGCCAAGATTTCACATAATTCATAATTTATGACAATCTTCTTCTGGTACAACTTCCAGTATTATCTGCAATGTTCTGGTTACTCTGTCTACAGGGAAATAAAGAAGAGATATTAAAATGCATGGCAATCAGAAATGCATAAAAAAACCTGCAAAATATATATTATTTGGGATAGAATTCTGTAAACATACAACCACCCATTTCATAGAGCACTTTCAAGAATTATTTACTTCATTTAGAATCCTATCATGCTTGATTAACTTATTTGTCACTTCCTTAACTTTCCCTGATGGTTTCTCAATGAAAATACATTAATATTTTGTATTCAAAGATGAGCCTTTATTCATGAACCAAGAAGGCTGAAAAGTATTTTGAGACAATCAGACCACAATAAAAATGTTTAAAGCTACACCTCATACTCAATTTAAAGATTTGCTCTTTTTGTACCTCAGAGATTATGATCAATTCCTTAAGAAAAACAGGAAAAGAATGAAACTAATTGCCAGCCCCAAACTATTGTGGATTCTTAAGAAACCCCTTATCTCTGTGAGGCTCATTTGCTGACGCTGTGAAGCAAGGGTCTGGGGGGTGGTGTCAGCAGATGAAGTGCTCAGGGAGCACAAATTTAGGCAGCTCAAGCTACTATAAGACTGGCTACAATCAACTCAGGCACTTCAGCACAGCAGGAAAACAATTAAAATGACGATCTCAGTATGGGGGCAAACAGGTCCCAAACATGCGTGTGATTAGGAACAATTAATAGATGAAAGACATTAAGAATCACAAAACTCAATCTCAAAAGAAAACCATCTGATTTTAAAACAGGCCCCCGCTCCCCCCAAACCCTGACAGAGACATTTTTCCAAAGAAAACGTACACGTGACTAGTAGGTCCGTGAGGTGCACACGGCAACACCGGCCAACAGGGCCACATAGGGCCCCAGTTTGGTCATCTTTTATCATGAAGGTAAACACTGATGTAGGAGAGAACTCCCATAAGCACTCTGACTGGTATAGCCTTTATGGAAAATAGGGTCATGATTTTCCCCCAAATGGAACACTGAATTAACCACTTTCTCCAGCAATTCTCACACTGAGGCGTGAAATCAGTCTCTCTGGGGATTCCTGCCTCTCTAGGGATCTTCGCACCTTGATGCATTACTCATAGTCACCATGATAGGGGAACTGCTGAAGTGCCTGAGTGAATGAAGAAGTCGCATGACAGACACTGGACAGTGGATCTCACTATTGAGCCCCAGGAAGAAACCCCGGGAATCCTGCAACCGTCACAACAGGGGTATCCCAGCAAGACACGGGCCAAGAGGCAAGCCACAAAAAACACGGTGTGTGGTCTCCCTTTCCTGTGGGGTGTGAAAGACTGGCCTGTGAAACAGAACAGTGGGGGCCGGGGAGCAGGGGGTGGAGGGGGGAGATGGTTTTTAAGGGTAAAAGTGTGGAATTAGTAGAGGAGTAAGGTTGGATGTCTTGTGAGTAGCTAAGTGACAGAAGGTTGGGGCTCTATGCAATACTGTATTATAAACTCCAGAGCTGCTCAGACACTAAGGCACCGTGGTCCAGTACATACACAGAAGAACTGAAACATGTTGTGATGTAGAAAGGCTACAGCAATAGGCATGTTGCAGTACATAAACCTGTGGAGCCAGCACCTCACACTTAGAAATGTCTTATGGCAACTGGATCACAGCTTTTAAAAAATGTTTTTGATGAGGCAGTTAGACTCATAAATGTAATCCCTGGACCAACCCCATGGGCAGTGTCTAAGATATCAGCAGTGCATCATTCCAACCTCACCCAAGACTCAGTCAACCAGAAAAGGTGCCATAGGGCCAAAGCAACAGCACAGGGCTCTTGCCTAACACACAGCCAACCAGGGGTCAACTTCTTGCAAGCCAGATGGACCTCCAAGCCCTGCCAGGAGTGATCCCTGAGCACAGAACCAGGAGTCAGTCCTGAGTGCCATTGAGTGCGATGCCCAACAAAACACAGAAAAAAAAAAAAGGAAGGAGTCAGGATCTCTTGGTCCTGCAGGACACAGAAGGGAGAAGCCCACAGCTGCAAGGTTTCAAAGCTCGGTATACCTCAGCAGTCAGAGAATCCTGCGACTCTCCGTCCACAGGACACTAGTCCCTGCCTACAGGTCCTCTTCAAAATCAGCTGCGACAGACCCCCCTTGGCACCCGCCCCAGTTCCGGAAGCTCTGGACCTTGGGTCCCGACAGTTCAAGCCCAGCAATGGGCTACAGAAAGACACAGTCTCTCGAATTTATGACCTGCCACCACCAATAGCCCCTTCGAAACATTACCCTGCATTACTAAAAAGAGTTTTAAATCTTTGCTCTTTTAACACGGTTCCTCAAGTTTGTTTTCCTCCACTATTTTCCTAGTACACACTAATTATAAAGCATCCAGCCCAGCCAGGCAAATGGTAAACTGTACATATAAATGCTTCTTGAATAAATGATATTCTATGCCAGCCCACTCCTTACATGGAAATAAGCACCGAGCACAGAATGATGCTCTCGGGGGCCATTAAAGTGTCTGTTTATACAAAAGGGAGAAGGCGATATTTTCCACGCAAAACAGATGTGTGCGAAAGTACCATTGATAGAAAGTTGTGGGATTTTTGCTTTTTTTAAATTTTGTTTTGTTTTGTTTTGTTTTTGCATGGAAAGAAGGGGCTGGGGATAATTCCAACTAGAGGACTTTTGCCTTCCTAGCACACACCACCCCATCCCTCAGGACCAACTTAGGGGTCCTGCTCTGTCCCGACCGCGCTGGTCTCCTGTCTCACAGATCCATCCGCTTCTCCCCTCTACTCCTTCTGCCTGGCCCTTTCTCCTCTATGGTCGGTCAGTCCTGCAGACTCTCCTAAGGCTCTCGTGGGTGAATGTTCTCTCTCGGGATCCTCTTGGCTGAGCACTGAGGACCTTGAGGTTGGGATCGTCCTCAGAACGGAGGTACTGTGTGTGAATCTGTTAGAACTTTGTCTCCTTTCTTTGCAGGTTCCCTGCAGCCATGGGTCAGAAATGGACACTCGGCAGGCCTGAAAATGTGCAGTGCCCATGGCATCCACACCCCCTGTGGCCACCATGGGTTGGCAGGTGGGGACATCCCACCCCTAATGTTCTCTCTTTAAATAAAATTCCAAGCACTCATCTCCATCCTGGACTTTCAGGAACTGTAAGTTCAGGGCCCTGAGCAATCTCCTTCCTGCTTCACCCGGTCCTTGAAATCAATTCAACTCACAGCCTTGCACTTACCCACACCTGGCCAGAGCATGGTGCTGTGAGCCAAGAACTAAGTGCACCTGTGAAGGAGCCTCCGAACAAGTCACGGGAAGAACACACCTGCATGTGGCTCCTCTGAGCCGCACACCCCCTCCCTGGGCCTGCTGACCAGGTGTGGCCTGACTTGGAGGAGAAGAAGATCTGGGCGCCTTCCCCGCGGGGTCATAATGAAGCTTCCCAGGTGAACCCAGAAGGCTCTAGAGCAGACAGGTGACTGCCCAGTGGCCAGCAGCACCCTGCTGGGCTTGCCCAGAGGGGCTATTTGTAATGGGGGAGTCGGGTTTAACACATCGTTGCCCAGCACTACTCACACCTGGGGACTCCAACAGGCAGTGGTCCAGTTAACACCAACTGCAGCGCCAACAGCTGCGGGCTAAAGAGAACTGTCCTTCAGCGCTCACAAGGCAAGGGCTGAACGCAGCCTACCCTGGGGCTCACCGCGGGGATGGGGTTGAGAGACGGGATTGAAAGGCTGCAAGCCCTGCTCTGTAAGGTCCAGTCACCTCCAGGTGCATGTGCATGTGTGTGTGTGTGCATGCACGCGGGATGCCTACCCCTGGCTGTGACCACGTTCTGAGAGGGAGCAAGGCAATAGCGAAGCGTTGATTGATAGAGAAATGACCGATCGATGATCAGAGAGATAAATAATAGCCAGATGGGAGAGAGAGAGGGGATGGATGGCCGCTTAGCTTAACAGTCGGAAGCTGGACAGACAAGCAGCCAGCAGAGTTAGCTCCCTGCCTGCCGGGGAGGGCAGCAAAAAGCCAAGCAGCGCTGGAATATTCCCTTGCAGTGCACGCTTTCTGCTCGCGGAAGACATCAGACAAAATGCGGTTCAATACTGGCATCCTGTGGCCAGAGAAATTCCTGGGATCTTGGGAAACCTCGCTCCTCCGGGTCCTGCACCTTCCTGGCGGCTCGGAGCCGGCTGAAGAGCTTCTGTTCTGTACGCCAGCGGCCTCCGTGGGTCTCACGGAGCCAACATGCTCCAGGATAACGGTGAGAGTAAATGAGGCCAGAGTGCAGAGGCATTACCTGACAAAACTGAAGGCGAAGTGGCTGCCCAAACGGTCCCCACCCCAGGTTTCACTCTGACAAGGAGGGACCCAGGGGCACAGGGGCACAGGATGGGGGCTACCAGGCTCTTCCCCCCAAGCGATGTGTATCTGCCTGTGAGGGTCTTGTGGCCCACGGCCAGGTAAACAGACTCTGTGATAAATGCTAAACGCTATGCACACTCTGGATTTCACCAAGAGAATATGGCCTAGGAGGACAGTCAAGCAGAGTGGCTGAGCTGGCCCAGCCTTGGGGGGTTTCCGGGCTCTGCCCCCAGGCCTGAGGGCATTTCTGCAATCACAGGGCTGCCAGGCTACCGAGGCTCCTGCTGGCTCTCAGCCCTCAGAGATGCAGCACGCCAGAGGCAGGAGCAGGGAAACACACACACACAGGTACACACACACACACACACATATGCGCACACACACAGGCACACACACGCACACGCGCACCTGTACACACACAAACAAGAGCACGAACACACAAGCACACAGACATGCATTCACACGTGCACACACACAATGCACATATACATATGCACACACACATGCACGCTCGCACAGACACACGCGTGCACACACGCACACACGCATGCAAGCACACATTATACACACCCGCGCACACATATAGATGCACTCGCAGGCACACGCAAACACACATACACACGGACACACAGATACATGCACACACACGTACACACATACACGCATACACACGCATGCACGCACGCACAAGCATACACACATGCAGACGCGCGAGCACACACACGCACACACCACGCACACACGCGCGCACGCAGACGCGCGCACTGCGGGCCAGGGAGGGCGTCCGTGGCGCCTGCAGCCGAGAGCGCCCCCGTGCGTCGCTGCGGGGAACTGGAGGGACGCGCCCCGCAGACCCCAACCCGCGGGGCGCTCAGGGGCCGGCCCGGTAGCCCAGGAACCCCTCCCTCGCGGTCTCTTCCAGACGTCCCTGCGCTTTTCCAGGGCGGTCCGGGACTCGGGGACCGGGTGCCCCCGCCCTGGGCGCCGCCTGGCCTCCCGCTCCCGCGCAAAGATGCTGGGCGAGCGCGCTCGGAGATGCTCCGGGGATGCCGTGGTGCGCAGCACAGCGCCCAGGCCCCAAGGGGGGGAGGGGGGTGTGCGGGGGGGGGTGTCCAGGGCGGGGGGTCGCGCTACTGAGCGTTAAGCGGGGGTCCAGCAAATGCACCCGCGCTGTCTCCACGGGGGCCACAGGGATGAGTCTCTGGGGAACGCGCTGCCCGCTAGGAAACACGGTTTGGGTACCAACATCGGGAGATTCCTAGTACCAAGTATTTGGTGATGCTCAGGACTCACGCCTGGCTCTGCCCTCATGGACCACCCACGCCTGGCGGGGATCAGGGGACCATGGGGGAGCCAGGGATGGGACCTGAGGGGGCCGCCGCCTGCAAGGCCAGCTCCGCATCTGCAGGGCTGTCTTCTCGGGCCCCGCCCCCCACTAGAAACTAGTCAGAGCAAAGTGCTTTACTGGATGCTCTGCTTCCTGGCCCAGAAGACCACAGGGGGCAAGAGGGCCTGTGGCTGCCTGCGCTCACAGCATCCCCCTACACACACACACGCCCTCCGGCTCACCCCCACCATGACGCCCTTTTGAGTGATGTCTGCTAAGTGCGTTTCTGCAGCACCTCAGGGCACCACCTGTGTATCCTGCTTGGCTATTTCTTTTTTCTTTTAAGATAACACACACATGACTTATTGCTAATTTTTTCCAGAAACCTCCATGAACTTTTCGTTGATTTGAAAAAAAAAATTAAATTAGGGCGAAGTAAGCAAATTAGCTATTCTCAGAACTCAGCAAACCAGCAAGAATCAGAGCCCGCCTCTCTCCTCTCTCCACGGCAGGACCCCAGTTTGGAAGGATCATGGGCAAAGAAGCCCAGCTGGTGTGGGTTTCAAATCCTAGCTCTGGGCTTTCAAAGCACCATGCCCTAGAGCAACCGTGCCCTCCCCTCACACCTGGCCCTGAGGAGGGCTACCCTGAGGGGTAGCGGAAAGGGTGGGACCCCGCCAAGAAGGCCTCCTTCTCTTCCTCCTCTCCAGCTCAGCTGTGCTCCAGGCTCCTAGGGCTTTTCCTCTGCAATATAGTCCTTCCTTGGGACCTGCATCCTTGCATCCGATCCCTCCACCAGCTCAACCGGAACTTCCCAAACTAGACCTCCCCTTCAGTCTGTACCCCAGTTCCCACCTGCCTCTGTGGCCACAGGGAGATCGTCAACATTCCAGAGCTCCCCCAATGACAGACTAGTCATTGCCCAACTGTCACAGGCTCTGCTAAAGCTCGTCTCTGCTGCCCGGGAGAGTTTTCCACCTTGGAAGGAGGCAGAAGGAGTCCATGGCACCGCGAGGGGCTAAGGCAGAGGCTTCCTGCAGCAGATGGAGCTGTGATCGCACCTCACTGATCTTGTTCTCCATGCTCCACGCTGTCTCTCGACCACTGGGCACTACCAACCTCTGCTCTCTCTCTGCCCAGCCCCTCACGGTCCCCCACACTCATCCCACTCAGGGAGCAGTGTGTGATGATGGGAATCACTACACCGCACACAACCCCAAAGACAACCATTGGGTCCAAAGAGGATTCAGAAGAGCAAACAGAAAACAGGCGGCTGATGAAAAATCCTAAGGAAGTGGTGCTCCCAAGGAGCGGCTCGAACACCCCCAGAAGGGCTGGTGTGGGGGGCTCCACCAGTAACTTCGCCTGCCAACTCAGAGGCTCAGACTTCGGCGCCCACACATGGGCTTTCTAGAAGGTTCTCTGTGCCCAGGCCCTCCCCCAGGGCTTACCTGATGCTGTCCGGAACCACGTGGGTTTCTTGTCCCAGATAATGAAGAGATAGTAGGCGGGGACGCCGGTCAGCGTGATGACAAAGCCGATGCCCGTGCTGAACGGGTCGGAGTAGAGCGAGAGTGCGACCATGAAGAGGCAGGTGAAGGAGAACAAGGCCGGGATGAAGAGCGGCACCTGCAAGGCACCACGGGGTAGCTCGTCAGACCACGCCAGCCAGCAGCTCCGTCACCTGCTGGAGGACCAGTGTGGGTGGCCGGCACGTCCCCTCCTGCCCTACCCTTGAGAGCAAAAATCCACTGGGAGGGGCACAGACGGGGCTTATGCAGCCCAGGGGCTTGTCGTGAAGGAAGCACCCAACGGGCGTGCCCCAGAGATGCTCTCTGCCGGGATTTGTGGTTTTGACTGCACAAGACAGACCTGGTCCTGTGGGCTTGGGCCCCTTTCAGGTGGAGCCAGGAGCAGGATTGGCCTCACACATGAAAAAGCCCTCCTGGGCCTATTGATCTTCCTCGGGGGTTCAAAACAAAGCCCTTCACCCTAACATGAACCATCGTGTATTGTGGTGTGTGGAAGGAGGTCTCCAGCATAGGCTCTGAATACCACCGGGAAGAAAGCCTGGGCCCTTGACAAGTGTGCGCTATTATTTAAAAAGTGAGTCAGTAGCACGGGGGGAATCACTCCCTGGACGGCCTAGGATGACGGAGACAAGGAGCAGATTCCTCGGCTCTCCCCAACGGAAACGCCACCTCGGGCTAAGTGGGCTTCCTACTGAGGAGAACGTTCAGCTTTTCCTGGTATTTGACATTTTTATTCCTTCCAGGGAAGAGACGCCCAAATTAAGTTGGCTCATCTCCCCTACCCAGCAGCCCTGGACATCACCCCCAAAGCTTCTCCCACCCCCCAATATTCCAGTAGCCCTCCGAGGGGGAGGTTTTGTGGCTCACTTTAACAGATTGCTCAAGAGCACAGTGTGCAAAGGAGAAGTGCTAAAGAGATTGGCTATCTAGGACGCCCTAAAATATCTTTTGAAAAGCATTCTCCTTTTTACTTACTTATGGGCAGTTGTGCTCTTGGATTACTCATTGATCAGTGCTCAGGGATCACTCCTGGAAGTTCTCGGGGACCATATGTAGTGCCAAGGATTGACCCCAGATTGATAATATCTGAGCACTTAAGCCCCTCCGTAGAGATTTAAATAGTGACGATTCCATTCACATCTCCCCAGTCTTCTCATGCCTGAGACACCAATCCTGGCGCCTTTCAATGGACCAATCACTGGACACATTTATGAGAAATCAGCATCAAGGCCGACATGAACATGAACACCCTCTCCTTCTTCAATGGGATACACAGTTCAGTCTATCAGACTAACAAAATAAAACCATGGTGAATTGCCTTTTCCTGCTCAAAGAAATCCAGCCTGCAAGAGTTAAGCACTTCATTCCTGGAGAGGCTCCCCCCACCCCACCCCCTCGTCATCAGAGCTGACAAAAGGACGACTGGCTGTTCACAGGAAGATTTATGAAAACCCATCACGATCGCCGAGGGGCGCTTACCTTGAAAGGACGGTGCATATCCGGGCGTTTGTATCGGAGATAAATCAGCCCCGCCACAGCCAGCCCAATAAAAAGCCACCTGGCAAAACTCAGGAAGTTCAGAAGACTGTTGAGGTCCCCGGAGAAGAGCATCACCATCGTCAGAGGGTGCTGGGGGAGAAGAAAAACGGTGAGCTCAGAGAGAGCACAGGTGGCGCCAACTGGCCACTCACACCAGGTGATACCCTCAGTGATGCTGAATGAGCTTCGCTGAAACCCTCTATGTCACTCACTCCTGTTTTTATAGACCCTTTGACCCCCTGCGAGAATGCCACCACGGCACCGACATTGCTGCCTCTTCTTCAGATGAGATTTTGTTACGGGCATCTGGTTGCTGACTCGGAGCGGAAAGATGCTTTTAAGGAGGAAAACGCTGCCCACAGGGCCACGCCAAAGGCAAAGATACTGCGATGGGGCCGAGAGGGTAAGAACCAGTCGTATGACCAAAAGGGGTCCCCGGAAGATGTGCAGAGAAGCACGGCAGATAGTGACTTGTGCTTGGGCTATTGCGTGACTTCTCGGGGGCCCAGCTATGCCCTGAGGCAAAGCATCCCCCATAGCCTCCTGCTCTTTGGCGCTTGCCATATCTGACCCTCGGATGGGCTGAGATGGAAGCACAGAGAAGAAAACTCAGGACCTGGTGTTTGTCACTACAAAAGCCAACGACAGCAAGACCTGCCACAGCGAGGGCGCACACACAAGGGTTCTCCAGGGCAGTCAGATATTCTGTCCCCACGAGGGAAGCGCCTGTCCCAAACACTGGCCACAGAGACTTTGCAAAGAAAATCCAAGGGGACATTTCAGATCAAATGAAATGCAAGGACATGTTTGGCGGGTTCTCCAGCACTCCCCACGGCCGGCCGGCTTCGTCTGAGCAGACTGTTTCCGAAGAGAAGGGAAATGAATGTCACATTGCCAACGGGCGTTGGAGAACTTTTACACCTGCTGGTTTTCTGTGGCCCACAGTTTGACAAATACTTCGCTCTGCCTCAAGAATTCCTCAGCTCGGGGAGCTTTTCCACTGGGGAGCTTTCATGCTTTCCCCTTCAGGGTTATTCTCAAATGACTCACTTTCCATCACCAAATCACGACACCATCTAGGATTTCCTCGGGTGTTTTTGGTTTTTATTTCACAGCAGCTCATGTGGGCATTTCACGATCTGGCTCGGGGGTGAGACACGTGGGTGCTGGCGGATTCTAACTGCTCGGACCGCGTCCGTGGGTAGCACTGAGTCTCACCACACAGAAATGTCCATTTTCCCACAAAGGTTTCTGTGGACAGCCGGATCCATGCTCACCATTCCCCTGAGACTTCACGCACATCCACACATGGGAAAGAGCAGCATCCGGCCTCTGACCTCAGCACCGAGAACACGGCAGAAATACTCACTGTAGAGGCTAAGGCACTTGCTTGCCTGTGGCCAGCCCCAGCTCAATCCCCAGTAACCCCTTTGGGACCCTGGCGTGCCACCAGGTGCTCCTCTCACCGCTAACTATGCCCCCAACACACCATAAACAGGAAACAAAACCTCCTCGCTTCATTGAGCATTCTTTAGGATGAGGTTTGGTTTTGTATTTTTTTTTGGGGGGGGGTGTCAAACCTGGTGATGCTTTGCACTCAGGAGTTACTTCTAGGAGTGCTCGCGGGACTACATGGGATGCCAGGGATTGAACCCTGGTCGATTGCATGCAAGGCAAACACCCTCCCTGCTGGACTATTGTTTCAGCCACTGGTTGATTTTTTGAGCATGCATTCTTTTGGTTGAGTTTTTGGTTTTAGGGCCACACCCAGGGGTGCCCAGGGCTCTCTCCTGGCTCTGTACTCAGGGATCACTCCTGGAGATGCTCAGGGCACTGTAAATTCCTTGCAGTGTTGGGGGGCCAAGCCATGGTCAGTGCATGCACAGTGAGAGCCTTAACCCCTGGCCTCTCTCTCCAGCTCCTGAAATACTGACTAATCAGGAAAACAAGAGAAGACACCCCACCCCACTGACGCTGCCACGACACCCACACGCACAGCCGATTTCGCTGGAGGCTGGAAGTGGAAAACCATTTCTAAAGCTAGCATGGACTCCTCTGAGCCAAGCTGCCTGGGGTTCCGTCTGGACAGACAGACGGACAACACACATTACCAGGACGATCACGGCGGGCAGCGGGGTGTGCTTTCGGACGTGGATCATGGAGAGGATTTCCGGCAAGTGGCCCTCCCGGGACGCCACATAGAACAACCTGGTGGGAGAGAAACGTGGGCAGAGTTGACCTGATGACCAGTGGCTGTAAAGGGCACATCCACGATTGGAGAGAAAAATGTGCATCTTCCTCGCACCGAAAGGTCTGACACAGTGGAAGCCGTTGCTGAGGTGTCACTCTTCTGATAAGGAAGAGAACGCTCTTGGGGATCTGACTTAGAGTTTCATAAAATCTGCCGGCTGGGGCAGAGCAACATGTTGTATGGCATGGAAGGCATTTGCTCTGCACGTGGCCAACCCGGATTCAATCCCCAGCACCCCATGTGGTCCCCCGAGCCCCGCCAGGAGTGATTCCTGAGGAAGAGCTGGGAATAAGCCCTGAGCACCATCCGATGTGGTCCCCAAACAACACACACACAAAATAGCCAACAAGAATCTGCCATCCTATTTAAGGAGAAACAGTGACATCATTTGAGTCAGCACAGAGGGAGAGTGAATTTGCTTCCTAACGCTGCACTGTATGTGTGCTGGGAAGGCAGTGAAATTCAGCCCATCACACACACACACACACACACACACACACACACACACACACACGCACACGCACACACACACACACACAGATCTGATTATGCCTTAATCTCATCATTTAAAAAAAAAAGAAGATTTTTTTTGCATCAGGCAAAGGGGCAACGGGGCTTTGGGAGTGGAGATTTCTAATGTCCCTACTCTTTTATTGCCACCGCTAGAGAAACAAAATATTTTATCGCCAGAAATAAAACGCCGCCGTTGGACCCTGTGGACACACACACTCTAGAAAAACGCCCCCCGCCCCGCACCCAGCCTGTGTTCAGAGCGGTGTTGTGCAGACGAGGAGCGCCCCCTAGTGGGCAGCGGGAGGCGGCGGCGCCGCTTTGCTCCTTGGACCAGGACGTCTGCCTCCCTCCTGCATCCCTCTAAAACCACGGATGCGGGGCGGGGGGCGGGGCGGCTCCACCTCCTTCCCCTTTACAGCTCCTCTTATCACTCTTACCCGAGCAACAGAGATGCATTTCTGGACACGCACGAGCCACTTACCTGGAGACAGCAAACACCCCGCCGTTCATGGAGCCGAAGCAGGAGAGGGCTACCAGCCCGGGAACCGCGAGGGAGAAATTCCCCAGGAGCCGCTCAGAAAAGGTCTAGGGGGAGACAGGGCCAGGGCAGGGGCGCTTGGTCAGAGAGGGAACAGGGTGAGACAGCTCCGGCCACATGGGCCATGCGACTCCCTGGCATTAGGTCTGTTCTCTCCCCCTCCCTGGTCAGGGGCAGGCTCGCCCCACAGGTTGGTCATCTGTGGCAGACACCCGGGCTCTGTTTGCTGCAAAAGTCCGCACCAAGGTCTCAACAAGCACCTGTCTGGCTTCAGAGAGCCAGGATCTATTTCCTGACTCTTCATCCACTCTGGGGACATCTTCCTAGGACTCGGCTGATCTGACTCTACGTTCCCCTGTGGAGCCAGGGACCCTGCACAACCAACGCTTCCTCTTGAGCCAAGAAAGTCACCTTTGGATAAGAAACTACAAACGCGCCTGGAGAGTATTGCAAGTATCTATTGCACCTGCACCTCCCATCATAAGGACACAACAGCCTCACGAAACATAATTGCTGCTTGAGTCAGTGGCGCTAGAAACACCAGCAATTGTGAAAATCTTTGGCCTGGAAGATAGCATTAGCTGTGTCTCCCGGAGTCCCCGGTCCCCTGGCTGTGTACCTGGTCCTTCTGCAGTTTCCTAGAAAAAGGCTAGATAGCAGGGCTGAGGAGAGAAAAACCAGGAAAGCATGAAAGGTGAAACCTGCGAAATGTCCACTGGATTCAGGGAATGCACAGCCTTGTAAATTTCCAGGAAGGGTGTATTTTCTCCCCCAGAAACATGTGGAGTGCCCGGCTGTGGAATGAATGAGCCACGTGAATGGGCCACATGAAGCCCGGAGAGTGAGGGCCATTCTTTGTCTGCTGAGATGAGGGGACAGACAGGGCAGGTGCTTCAGACACTGGCCAGTCTGCTCAGCTCACAGCTGCAGGCAGGGCTGTCTTTGGTGGTGGTGGTTTTTTAAAAATGATGAACTTAGAAATACTGCATTCATCTGGGGAACATAAAGTAACAAAATAGGAGACTAACACCCAACAGTGGCCGAGATTAGTACCAGGAATTTTGCTCCATGGCTTGGAGGCCAGCCACACATGCTAGGGGAAAAGGGAGCTCAGATAAGGGAAGGGAGCACCAAATAAAGGGTGTTGGGAGGATCCTCCCAGGATGGGAGAAGCATGCTGAAAGTAGACTATAGACCGAACATGATTGCCACTCAATGCCTTGCAAACCACAGCACCCAAAAGGAGAGAGAGAACAAAAGGGAATGCCCTGTCACAGAGGCAGGGTGGGATGGGGGTATGGGAGAGGTGGGAGGGATACTGGGATCCATGGTGGTGGGCAATGGGCACTGGTGGAGGGATGGGTATTTGATCACTGTATGACTGAAACCCAAGTACAAAATTTGTAAGTCTACAACTGTACCTCATGGTGCTTCACTAATAAAAAAATTAAAAAATAAAAATAAAAAATAAAAAAACGATAAACTTGCACCTAGGTTTGTACAAAATGAAACCATTTTCTAGAAGTTCCATGTGCACGTTGCTGATAGGTAGTAACAGGGGCTGTTTTATTTATTTATTTATTGGGCACACACTTTGATGTGCCCAAGGGCTGCTTCCCGTGGTGTCTGATTTGAACCCGGGTCAACCACAAGCAGAGCACAGGCAAACCCCGGGCCAGCCACTGAGCAAATCTTTCAGTCCAAAATGACTGTTTTAAAAGTTACTGGCATCCTAGTGATGGGAAACGCTTTGTTTATCTCCTGTTGTTATAAGGGTTGTTATAAGGGTTGTTCTCTTACTGGCCTTTTAGCTTTGGGGGGAGGTGGATGGGGGTGCAGTTGGCTATGGCTGTTCGAAGGGCTTACTCCTGCTCTGTGCTGAGTCTTCCCAGCTGTATGGTCTCTCTGGCCCCTGGCTATTCTCTTATAAGAGTAAAAGGGTGTGTCACGGATTAACAGTCCCACAACATGACTCTGCATCATTGAATTTTGGAGCATCAGTGATGGTCCTGGAGTCAAATAAATTATGAGAAAAGCTGTGAAATCATGAAGGGAGTTGAAATGCATTTTGTCATCTTTAATGGGGCCAGAGTAATAGCACAGCAGTAGGGCATTTGCCTTGCACGCAGCCGGCCTGGCCAACCAGGGTTCGATTCCTCCACCCCTCTCGGAGAGCCTGGCAAGCTACCGAGAGTATCTTGCCTGCACAGCAAAGCCTGGCAAGCTCCCCGTGATGCATTCGATATGCCAAACACAGTAACAACAAGTCTCACGATGGAGATGTTACTGGGCCCGCTTGAGCAAATCAATGAACAATGGGAGGACAGTGGTACAGTACTATTCTGAGTCAGAAGTATGTAACTCTGAATAACTCCATATTTCCCAAAATTAGCTGTTACTATATTTCAAAGTTAGTATTCAAATGGATGTGTTGGATTCCTTAGTTGGGTTTGGTTTCTGGTCTAGGGACCACACCTGGCCGTGTTAAAGGTGTATTCCTGGCTTCGTGCTCACATATCACTCCTGGCAGTGCTCAGGGAGCCATATGTGCCGATGGGAATCAAACGGGGTCAGCCACAGACACAGCAAACTCTTTAACCCCTGGACTGTCTCACTGGCCCAACGCATGGAGATATTAGAGAAAAACAAATGCAGACATTTCCCCTGGAAATTATTAAGGAACCTGGAAAAGGGATTTCCAAAGCTAGCCTTTGAAACATTTACAAGCCAGAAAGAACATAGGGTGAGTTGCAATTTGCACATGCCAAGATGCATTTATCTAAATGCAATAATCACCAGAGTTCTTAAAGACACATTGCAGGGGCTGGAGCAATAGCACAGTGGGCAGGGCGTTTGCCTTGCACGCAGCCAACATGGCCAACACAGGTTTGATTCCCAGCATCCCATATGGTCCCCCAAGCACCACCAGGAATGATTCCTGAGTGCATGAGCCAGGAGTAACCCATGAGCATCACCAGGTGTGACCCAAAAAGAAAAAAAAAAGACACATTGCAAAATAATGCCGTCTACCCGGTAGATCTTGAGGAAGTTTCCAGCATGCACATGTGGAAGTAAATGTCCCATGGCAAACTAAAAATACAAAGGTTACAGGACTTCGTCTGTTCAGTGCAATATGCAGAGGCAGGTTCTAAATGTTGCCAGCGCTCATGATCATTTGGGTCAGGAGAAGATCACTGATTTTCAAAAGCACTTTCTCCCCGAGGGAGTCACCACCAAATGGTGTCAGCCCATTGCCCTAAATTCAGTTGGCCTCTCCCCAACTCAAACTCACCACGGCCACAGCCTTTGAAAGCAGCAGCTCCTCGGCGCTGATGGTGGTGAAGTACGCCACGTTGGTCAGGACGTAGCCGACGGTGACGATGGCCATGGAAACACAGATGGCCAGGGGGATGGTCCTGAAACACACCACGGAGCCCTTCATTCATTCATCACTCATGTTGTGTCAGCTGCCCTCTGAGACCATTGGCCAATGCTGAGGAAGACTAAAATGGCACCCAGGACCCTGGCAGGCGCCAAGGGCTGAACCCAAACCCATATTCAGTGACTTCCTGAGCTCCAACGGTGTGGGCCGTGGGTCTGGCATTCTACAGCCCCGTGCCCTTAACACAGGGCCTCAGACTCCCCGTGTGACTCCCACCAACACCAGCATTTCCTGGCCCCGAGCACGTATGCCCACCAGGCCTGACTACATGCTGACTCTTCTCAGCTCTACCTAGGAATCCCTGATTCTGGAGAATCTGCATTTCTTCCCAATTCCTGCATGGGTCCCACTTTTGCTCACCAAGGTATCATACTCCCAAGAACCCAATTTCAAATCCAAACCCTCAATTTTGCCACCTTCAGAATGGCTCGACATCCCCCAGAAAAAACATCTTTTGTGTTCAGAGTTCCCCTGGCCCCTCGGTGGGAAATCTGAGTCAGACTCTATCCCCCTTCCTCAGTGGTGCTTGCAGAACCATCCTACAAGTCACACAAAAGGAGTGCTGCGAGCACTCACAAGAAGGCCTCAGCACCGCCCAGCAGGGAGTTCAAATAAAGCTCCAGATCAGGGTGTCCGCACAGACCATGTGACTGGACAGAGAGGACGTGCCAGGACATGGAGCAGCCACAGACCCAATGCCCCGTTACCTCCCCATTCACTGCACACCGGCCAGGAAGTTGCTGGCCCTCGTCATCAGATTCCGTGTGAGTGACACACCTCCCTGATAACATAATCACTTCTCGCACTCTTTCTGGCTCAAGCAGTGTAAAGCTTCCACTCCCTGCACCAAGGCTGCCGGCTTCTGTAGCTTATCAGCCCTCGTGGGCCCTTCGCCCAGCCAGGGGCCGGCCACTAATGAAGACCTCAATATAATTTTTTTCCAAGATGAAAATGACGTGCAGGGGCTGGAGCGATAGCACAGCAGGCAGGGCATTTGCCTTGCACGCAGCCAACCCGGGTTTGATTCCCAGCATCCCATATGGTCCCCTGAGCACCGCCAGGGATAATTCCCGAGCACAGAGCCAGGAGGAACCCCTGTGCATTGCCGGGTGTGACCCAAAAAGAAAAAAAAAAAGAAAAGAAAGTGCCGTACAGGACCAGGAGACAAAACAGAAGCAAGGCCCAGCCTGCCTCTTCGTGCGATCTGGGGGTGTTGTTCTGCACATGGTGTCCGGCCCTTTCTGCTGGAGCGTGACTCTCCCTGAGAACAACCCACTTCGCAGACAGATCCTAACTTAGCAGACTGCCACTCACTAGGCTGCTGGGGGCCCCAGACACTTCTCAGACCCCCCAAAGCCTAATGCACTGATGGGGAACCACACTGACCTCTAAATTCCAACCTCCTGCTGGGCATCAGCAGATGTGCCCTTCCCCAGCCTGAAGAGGGTCCTGTGGAAGGTTCTGGTTAGTGCTGTGACACGCCTCCCTAGTCGTGACTGATCCATGCCGAATTTAAGCAGAGGAAAGTCATGGGACAATGAGAGACAGAGTAAGGCAGAGCTTCCGGTACATGAAAGGCGTCTGGCTGTAGGCTGGAAGGAAAGCTTGGGTCAATGGCGGGTGTGAACAGGGTGTGAACCGGGCTGTGAATGGCTGCCAGCAGTCCAGATGCTAGAGTTCATTCCTATCACCAAGTACCACATCCCCAGTTGCGTTATTAGGGTGGGGGAGGAGGGGATGGGAGAGGATGGAGGGCCAAGAGGGGAGGGAAAATTGGGGGAGAGAGAAAGAGAGAGACAGAGACAGAGACGGAGACGGAGAGAGGAAGAGAGGCAGAGAGGCAGAGAGACAGAGAGAGAGCACACACAATTCTATTGCTTGAGAAAAGCAAGATTAAGAAGCATCAGTGCTCCTGTGATCAGGTCAAAGGAGCGCTGGGATCATCAGACCTGTCCAGAGTGGGTCCCACCCCCATCCACAGACAGAGGCAGAGAGAGGCCGCCACCCCAGAGCCCACAAGCCCCGCCAGGCCCCGTCTGTTTACCAGGCGGAGATGATGGTTCTTGCTAAGGCGGATTTCTAAATCGGTCTTAGCAGACGGATCCTAACGTTTCCAAGCTCCCAGCTCCCTTCCCGGCGCCTTCTTCTCAGCATGTCAACAACAAAAACAATAGTAGCAGCTGCTGAGCTGGAAGGTCGCTGCTCTATGGCCCCCGTTTGATTAGGCGTTTTACATATTTGCCTCATTTCATCCTCGGGAAGTCTCAGGAGCCCGAAATCATCACCATTTTATGTCTGAGGAAATGAAGTCTCAGGGAGTTTAAGTATCTGTTCAAGGATGCACGGCTGTTGGGGGGAAACCCAGAATTGGAGCTCAGGTCCGGCCTATCCCGGAGTAAAAGCATTTAACTACTGAACTACTAGTCTCTCCTTTCTCTCTCTTCTCTCTCTCTCCCTCTCCCTCCCTCTTTCCCTCCCTCACACACATATTGTCTCAAATTTCAAAGAAACCACGGTTAATCATCATCATCATCATCATAATCATAATAAATAAATTTACTGGACAGCTTGATCAGAACTCAGCATGGTGGTGGCTGGTCCTGGAGGTCTTCGGCTGCCGGAGCCACCACCATGCTGAGACCACTCTCCGCACACATGAAGGTACTGGCAGAGGGACAAAGCCACGCGGGTTCCGGGGCCGAGACCTCCAAGCCTACTCGAATTGGAGTCGAGCATCTTCCACCCAGATCCTCCAAATTCCAGTAGGCGGGGGTCACACCCACCACCTGGCCCCCTGGCGCCGTGTAATCCCATCAGCGGCCAAGACTCAGAGACTATAAAAACCAGCTCCCGAAAGCGCACAGCCGCATTCGCTGCTGCATGACATCTTATCTCATTCCTACTTTGGACAGACTGGCAGTCTACCGAATGTAGCCTGCCCACAGGGCAGAGTCTGGCAAACTCCCCGTGGCCTACCAAATATGCCAAATGCCAGTAACAATGATGGGTCTCATTCTCCTAAAGAGCCGTGAATATAATCTCAGGGCTAGGATGAAAGAGACGTTACTGGGGCCTGCTCGAGGCAATCGACGATTAACAGGATGATGAAATGAAATGAAATGAAATTGATCAGAACTATTTCTCACACATTCATTTACGTTAAAAGCTGTCTCACCTACTCTCAAGGAGAGAACACACAAATTTCATGATTTTTCTTACTTTTCACCATAAACTGCGATATCCAGAACATGTTTTCGAATTGTTTTAGAAGTACCTTTAGGTTTTGAGGGGAATGGGGCTGGGGATGGGGGTTTACTCAAAAGACAGTCTTAGTATTAATACATTTCCCTGGAAATTTACCAATAAGATGAAAAATAACATGCTCGTCAAATCAGCAGAAACCAGGAGAACAATTTTGCTCTGAGCCAAAGAAGTGATGTAGGGTGGCCAAATAAAGGAAAAGGAATTTAAAATGTTGAAGAGGCTGGGGACTCGGCTCGGTGATAGAGCACAGATGGTGTGGATGAGGCCTGGAACCTTAGCACTGCAAGTAGAAGCTGAATATAAGACCACAGAGAGAGAGAGAGAGAGAGAGAGAGAGAGAGAGAGAGAGAGAGAGAGAGAGCTGGCATTCCCAGGTAAGCGGTCACTCCTCTCTCAGGAATATCGAGCCAGGAGAATTGTTCAGTGACCTGGCAAATTGCCCTGATCTCCTGCCCTCAGAGTTCTTTTCACTGTGGAAAGGGGAAGAGGAGGGGCTTCTCTTCTCGGGGCTGTGTTGGCATAAACAGGGACCATTTCCCAAGGAAAGCTGTTAACTTGTCCGCCAGGTCTTGTCACCACATCGTTAGTGCCTAGCTCCCGATCATCAAAGCTTCAGAGCTACTGGGTGAGCGGGTACAAGCTCTTAGGCCAGGCTTGAGCAATCTCTCTGGGTGCTGGAGATGCTCGGGGCTGATCAAGGCAGGGAGTGACCGTTACCGAGACTGAGGCAAAGGACACAAAATAATTGGGGAGGGCCAATGAGATTTCAAAGCTTCTGTGATACTGAGGTGTGTCTACCAAATCCAAATCAAAGTGTGGTCTGACACTGGATAAAAATGGTACCACCATGAGTTCCACATTCTCAAAGGTTTGTGCATCTTTGTTAGGATTAATAATACAATATGCTGAAAATTATGACTTAGTCCTTAGAGTTGTTTGTCATTAAGAGCAGTCGATTCAATGTATAGGTGTCCAGTATTTAAGAATCTGGGTTGGTTGGTTGTATGTTTGCACTTTGTTTTGTTTTTGTATTTCCAAGGATCAGAGTTTGGGCGTTACCTATTTACACACTTGTACTGATAGCAGCCCCATCTCAGTCTCACAGCATTAATAGTTGCAAATGGTTTTCACTCAGAAGATATTGAGTTATCTTCATTTCCTGTTAGTCTATTTTGAATTGTCACCTATAGAACACCTGTCTCACAGGGGTTAATATTTGTTTTATTTATGGTTATTATAAATACAGGAGTTAGGGATAAACTTGGTGGTAAAGTTCATGCCTAACGACCCCCCAACCCTAGCACCTTCAAAAAAAGAAATGAAATGAAATTCAGTGGGAGAGTCTGAAATATCTGCTGAGATCAACTCTGATTCTCAGGCATAACCCTCCCCAAGAACCCACGCCCGGCAGAGTTGACATCTATATAGTCACTGTCACTGTCACTGTCCTCCCATTGTTCATCAATTTGCTCGAGTGGGCCCAATAACGTCTCCATTGTGACACTCGTTACTGTGTTTGGCATATCAAATATGTCACAGGTATACTTCACTAGAAAATACATTTTCTTTTATCTTCACCAAAAAATAGGTCATTTCAAAACCTCTGTGGAATGAGTTGGAATATGGACACGTGGAAACAAATTTTCAGGAAGACCTCTTTCAACAGAGAGCCATGGTTGGGTGAGGTAAAGCGGCCACACGTGAGGATAT